ATCTGCAGCCGAGGGAGACGCGCAAGCGCGTGAGGTCGACGGGTGGAGGGGCGGGACCAGGCGGCATGTGGGAAGGTCCAGGGTGGTGGCGAGGGCGACGCGTGCGGCCGTGCTGGCCGGTCGGCTGGGCGCGAGGTGGCGCCAGAGTGCGGCGCTCAAGGGAGGAGCGAGGCGACTCGCCTCGCAGCGGGCGGGCTGACGTGGCGCGACTGTCTGATCCGAGGGTAGGGTCCGATGCGGGCCAGGCTGCCAGCAAGGGAGAGGGAGAAGGACGCGCGGCTGGCGGCAGGCCGGCGGGCAGGCGGCACCTCGACAAACTGCCGCGCGAGCAGAACCTTGCCGGCCTTGGTCATGACTGCGACTGAGAAGCACACCTGCGGGTGGGCGGTACGAGCGGAGCGTGGAGTCGCGCTGTGCGCTTGCCATCCGCCAGCCGGGCGGGCGTGACGGCGGCGGCGTCACCATCTTGTCGGTGTGTTCCAACTAGACGTCAGGCAAGATGACCGCCGTGAGTACATGGCGGCCGAGGTGCTCGAGCTCGCGGGCAACGTGAGCACGCCTCCCCTCCGTGACGTGTCCCTTACATATCCTTCTCACATCCACTCGGTGCTCCCATAGGCTTGCCGCGACAACAAGAAGCGTGTCACGCCGCGGCACCTGGTCCTCGCGGTTGCAACGACGAGGAGCTCAACAAGTTCCTCGGCGGCGTCACCATCGCCTCGGGCGGCGTCCTCCCCAACATCCACTCGGTGCTCCTGCCGAAGAAATCCAAGGTCGCGGGTAAGGGTGCGTCGCAAGAATTTTGATTTCTTTTCTCACCCCCGGTGTTTCTAAACACCACGTGTGCGTGTGTGTGTGTGTGTGCGTGGAGTGTGGAGCCAGGTGTGGTGTGGGCGCGAGAATAGCTCCGCCGTTCATGGAGGCAACCGATGCGAGTCGACTGGTATGTGTCGTCGTGGTTTCGTATCAAGAATACTCACTCACTTTCTAAACACCACCCTTTTCTAAACACCACCGGAAATTTCCAGGGAAAACAGAGGGTGTTTGGTGCGCCATTCGGTTTCTCTCGAGTTTCCCTCGGGAAACTCGCGAGTTTCCCTGAGTCTGTTTTTGAGAGATTTTTAGCAATACCAAACAAATCTAACACTCACACGTCATTTGGGGCCTGGAGCCCTGTTCACGCGCGCGCGAGACGTGCAGACAGGGTTGCCAGGTGAGAGCGAATGGCGCGGTTCACGCCTCGCACAACAGAGAGAGAGATGCGCTCTGCACATGGTGGGACATAAAAGAGAGCGAGTACTTGGGCGAGTAGGCCGTGCGGTCGACGCTGCCGCGCGCGACTTTGCGCGCGAGGCGGCGCAGCTTGAGAACGGCGGTGGGCGAGAAGCCGCCGCCAAACGTCTCTCGTGGAGCAGCAGGTTGAAGTTGTTGCGCTTGACAAAGATCGCGTCGTGGTAGAAACCGCGATGCGCGCCTTGACGTAGCCGTGGCCGGTCTTGTGGGAGAAGGGTTGGCCGGGCTGCCCGCGCGCCTTGCAGCCCATGTTTAGGCGGCGGGCCTTCTCCTCGGTGTTGCCGAAGGCGTAGGAGTGGCCAACGGAGGCGGGCGTGCCGCCACTCGAGGCGTTGCCAATGCCCGGCGAGGAGGTCTTGAGGAGGGGCGTCCAGAGCTTGATTTCATTCACGTCATCGCACCCTCCTGGTCCCGCATGGGGTATTGGGGTTCTGCGAGGTCAGTCTTTTACCCCTCGTTGTACTGCCGGGTGAGCTCTGGTTTCTCCTTGTCGCCGTGCACGACCGGCGCGTTGGCCGGGGCGCGCATCGCGTCCGCCCAGGCGTTTGTGTTGTCTGTTTTTTGTTTTTGAGTCTGAGAGCTGGTCTGGGGCAAAATCTGAGGCAAAATTGAGGAAATCGGCAAACTACCCGGGTATTTTCCAGGTATGTACCATGAAAAAGTTAGTATACCCGCAAAATACCGGTATTTTGCCGATTTTGCTGATTTTGGCCCCAAAACAGCCTCTACTCAGCTCAGAGCCCAAAAAATGACGATTTTAACGGAGTTTTCCCCGGAAAATAGAGAGGGAAACAGAGGGTGTTGTAGAGAAAAAAGGAAAGGAAAACCGACGGGGTGCGAGAGGAAAACCTCGGACAGCCTAACCTCTGCCTCGTTCTGCGACGGCGCCTGCCTCTTCCTTGTCCCCGCGAGGTAAAAATTCTTTTTCAGCGGCTCCCTTGGTGTATCTGTGTTAGTGCCAGTGCGCGCCAGTCCCGTGCCCAGAGTCGTCTGGGTGCACTTGGAGCACTTGGAAGAAAGAAAGAAAGAAAACAGATAACCCAAGGGAGGGATGGGAGGACGGCACGCCGCCACCACACAGGGATTTTAAGCACTTGGAGTGCAGTCAGAGAGAAAATTCTTTTTCAGCAGCCAAGCCTTTCCGAGGCGCCCGCTCGACTCCTCCCCGCTGCGGCATCTTCGCCCGCACGTCCTCGCCCCGCATCCCCATGCTCGATCCCACAAAGGCCTTCGCCGCCTCTCGCGCTGCCACGTCGCGCACCGCTGGGCGCGAGATGAAGTACGGACACCACCGTCCCGTGTATGGCACGCTCCAGTTCATCGAGTCGCAAGCCATGCCGGTGCTACCCGACCGGCCAGCGCGGGTCCAGGTCGAGCAGAAGCGGAAGCTGCAGCAAGCGGAGCACCTCGGCGAGTACAACATCTGGTACCACCGCTGGAGCGGCGAAAACAACTACGAGCGCGCCCCTCGCGCGTCGACCCGCTGCGTGCTCGAGACGGACGCCGGCCTAACGCGAGCTGACTACACCAACCCGGGCGCGCCGCCGCCTCCTCTGCCGCTTGATGCGGTGGCTCCTGAGGCGGCCGGTGCGTGGTCTTAGGCGCCGTCATCTGCCTCCACTTTGCGCGCGGCCACTGCATCTACGGCAAGGACTGCTGCTACCGCCACTGCGCTCCAAACGCCAACGACGAGACGCAAATG